ATTTATCGGTATTAGATGAGATTTCACATAGTGTTTTCAAGATTGATAATGATCAGGGTGAAGACGCTTTCGAGTAAGGGAAACAAAATAAATAGATGAAGCTCAAATAAAATTACATTTGGTATAACAAACTTAAACGAGGAGAGGTAACAGGTTGGTCCAGCACGATTGCAAGCTGACATCATGTAAAGCCAGTTGCTCTCGATTTTCTAGGCAAGGTCCTACAAAAAGATGTAATATCTCAAATGAAAAATGTTTCACGTTGCACATTCATAGCAAGCTACGTTTTCGTTGGATCTACTGGCCAAAGCTTATATAAGCAGAAGTTTCGATCAGACGAACCTACTTCCCTGGATCTATCCATTTTTGCCAGCGCTTTAATGCTTTAATGTAAGGTGCTGCAGGCCACTTAAATTTGAGTATGCAAATGAAAGACGTGAGAAAATATTAAGGGGTCGCTGGTCTAAGGGATTTCATATATACGAAAGAGGGCAAAAAAATTGTCGTTATCTACAAACCACAGATGACACTTATAGATGGAAAGGGTTTTAGCGCTTTAACTGCTAAGTCATCAACTCAATGCAGCACAATATGTGGGGTTAAGGGGACTCTCCCCTGATATTGAGCGAAAATCAGGCAAAGTTTGTATTTTTTTTTCTGTGGAAGAATGAAAAGGCGTACGAACTTCCGGTTTTGACTATTAAATTTGTTTATTATTTGGGTTTTTAAAAGGGTAAATAAATAGTTGGAATTCAAAATGATGGCTTTAAAGCGGCGTTTTCCGTCTGCCTCTGTGCGAAAAACCTGGCCCAACAAATTCAAGCCTGCAGCCTCTTGTAATGGACTGAAGTCAAAAATCGTAGATCATGAAATTTTCAACATCCTGAACCGTAATTGAAACAATTTTAACGATCAATTTATTGAATAATGACCATTGCAATTATAAACTTAAATTGTTTGCTACTTTTTCTCACTTCAATTACGTTAAAAAAATATAAATAATTAATTATTAATGCTAATATTTGGTTCAAGACGTACAAAAACTATATATAACAGTTTTTAGATAAAAGAAATCGGACGATTAGCTCAAGCCCGGAGCTTGAAGTTAGATCAAAAAACATTGTTTCGGGGAAAATGCGTTTATAGTTTTTTGAAAGTTTGCCTTCATGCTTGCATGCGTGAGACAGGTGTGTTCGAGAAGCAGCCATTTGAAAAATTTTCATAGCATTGCAAAATCCCCTTAAACACATACTCTACAAATACATTCATTTTTTGCATAAAAAAACAAAATTTTTTTTTATTCAAAATCAGGTAAGGGTCGCCTTATATCAAAAAATATCCTTGAAATCACTGTTTCCAAATCCGAATGTTTTAAGCCAAGACCTTCGACTATGGTGTTAGTCCGTCTTTGCATTCTATTTTTTTTTAGCATATCCTAGAGATTATTGTAATTCGGAAAAAGGAAATGTAGAAAATGATGTGGTCAAAAATGGGGTTGCATGTAAGCACGCCCAAGCCTAACGAAAGTGGGAATAGTTATGATGGAAACACGGCTAGAGGAGCATTCACGAATCACCAGTTATTTTCAACAATTACAAGATTTTATCAAAATATTTTACAAATTGTATTGTATGTAATTTTGATCACTATTTCATGGGTGCATTTTATTGATAAATAAAATATTCAAGCCATTTTGTAAGGAAACAATTTTTTTATATTTTATTACTTATCCCTGGCATCCTATGTCACTGAGCTATGAATTCTTCTGATCCATGAATATGAAGTATTTGTTTAATCGAAAGGCAAAACAAAACCCCTGCCCGCAGATGTAATAAATCTTTTAAAATGGCCACCACTACCAAACTATAAAAAATAACGTCCGCAATGGAAAAAGAAGTTGCGAACTCTGCGGAAGGTTGTATTGATTATTTAGAAATTGATCTACTGAATGGGCACTTTTTCCAAAACCGAAGGAAAACAGTGAAAACAAATCGAAATTCCGATTTTGCATTTATTTTCGACTGGTAATGCGACGTTTGACATTTTTCAATTTTCTATGAGTTAAAATTAACCGAAACAATGATTGTTTAATTAAGATTAATGCGACGGATGATATTTTTTTTCTGTCAATTTATCAAAGTCTTGCTTCGATTGGATTAATTCGCAACGAAGACCGGATTACAAATTTACCAGTTAGTAAATTTTGTTACTATTTCGTATTCTGAGCTCACTGTTACCCTGTAAATTTTGTTACCAAAAATATCTGCCGTTTGATTTTGTGTTGTAAGTTTGAGAAAAAATAAAAAACTAAAATGTGTAGGCATATTTTAGGCCTGGAATTCATTGAAGATGAAGAAAAAAGTGCAAAAAGCCGTATTTTAAGAAGTTTCCGAGACTAAAAAATAGCCTTTTAATTTGTAATATAACGTTTTCATTTAGCTATTTTTGTTGTCCAGGCATATCTTCCATAATTAGGTTCAAATATTTATGATTTAATAAACAAATTAATAAAACTTTTTAATTTTTTTGTGCACCGTTTTCCATTTCGATATGAATTTTTTTCTTTTTACTTTATCAACTGGCAAATGTAATTTGAGATGGACGAAAAAAGCAGTGCTGCCAAATTTTCAAATTCAATTTCGGGTGTTAAAAAAAGTAACAAAATTGACTTTACCGGTAACAGTGAGAATAGGTCTGTAAATAAAATTTCAAAATAATAATAATAAGAAATCAATTATTTCTTTCGGGCTTAGGCGAAGGTGTGGTTTAATTTAAAAAAAAAAAAAACTATGAAAATATTCAAAATTTGTGCGCCACATTTGAACTCTCTCGCTTAAGAATTGTACTTTATGCAAAACTGTCGGACTTTTTGCCCATAAATTCGTAGAGTTGCTATTTTTGTGCACGCAACTATACATAGACGCACAGAAGAACTCATGTCGTTTCGCATCAACACTCCATCTGTATTGCACTGCATGTTTATATTATCATTAGTAAATAACCACTGTTGGAGTATATAGAAATGATTCAAGGAAATTGCAGTAGCACTCTCACACACGCACTCACGCTATTGCCGACAATTGTTGCTTCCACACACGTTGCCCGCTGGAAGTCAGAGTCAATGTAGCAATGTAGCAGACGTATTGCCGACACCGAGCAGCGTTGCTCTCAAGCATTGTATGATAAACTAGTATTTCCAGTTTGAATACATTTCATTTTCAATGTACATACATATATGTATATATGTACATGTATGAAAAGGCGCATAATATGCTTACAACCCACCCTCCCTCAATGCCACAAACCGACACACTCGTCGAGTGGTTGATGGAAATGTTCTTTAAACAAAAACTATGCGGGCAGACAATCAATTGAAAGTGGCAGTCGCTTAAGTGATGGAGGGAGGAGGATGTTCGTTTATTTAATTGCATATGAATAGACATACAGATGCACATATTTACTCATTTACGTACCAACTTGTACTGCACACAGCGACTTTGCTGAAAGTGATTCTGGCTGGTAGCAGATTTTTATGGGAAAATGAGTGAGAAAGGCAAGCGTATCAGAATTTTCATTTCTCGAATACATAAATACTAGAAAAAATTTTTGAAAATTCTTTCAGCTTCTACGGGCAAATATACTTAGATATTTTTTTTTTGTTTTTGTTTAGTATTCCTCTAAGCGCAGATTTAAGGAAAATAGTAAGGCGGTCTACGGAACCTCGCATTTATTTTCCGATAACTGGCTGAGCAAATAGTTACTTTGGAAAAGCGGGGTTTGAGTTCTGGTATGACCGAAAAATCTAGGAAATTAATGTTTCCAATTGTGATCGTTCCTCGACAGCAAATGATAAGCCCTCCGAGTGTAGTAAATGATATAGAAGCTTTTCATAAAAATCCATCGACCGTTCGGAAGCGTTTTAGAATAAAATCTTGGTCACCCATATTTTTTGGAAGAGCATCAAGAGACACACGACAAATTGGAGGAAGAGCATGACCGAAAATCAGCGGCTTCAAAACTTCGATGTATATACTGGGTGATTCAAGTAGAGATATTTTTTCAATAGCCTTTTTTTGACAGTTCGGGTTCATATCCCGGTGCCACCAACATTCAAAAGTTGTGGAAAATTAATTAAAATATAAAATTAAGTTAAATCTTCTAATTGCGCTCGCCCCTCGGCAGAGAATATAAATCCCTCCGAGTGTTTGTCTGACATGAAATAAAGCTCCAAAACAACGAATTGGAAGAGGGGCTGGGCCGAAAATCGCCTTGATAATGGGATATTTTTAGTCTTTTACATGTAAGTTCTTCAAGAAGCTATGGATCACTTACTGTTATACACGTTCTCTTGGCAGCAGTCAACAAAATTTGTAATTTTTTTATAATTCTGCTTTTAATTGCACCCTTCTCCCTTACTTAAAGCTTGCCCTATTTTAAGGTCACCGCATCTGCTTATACACAAGTATGTACATACATACATCATATCTGTCCTCAAATGCAAGTTCTTATGTACACACATTCTTCCATAAAGCCATTGGCTTATATGCATGCACAAACACACATATATACACGTCCAAATATTGTATAAACGCGAACACAACCACTTGTACCAGATAAACACACACGTATCTACATACATAGCCATTTAGAAAACAAAGAAAAACTTTACTAAAAGAAATCAAAATAAAGTGGAATAAAAGAATAAACAAAATGTATAAAAATCATACTCAGCTGGAAAATGAAAAATAAAATGGAATAGCGAAAGCGATTTGTTAATTGAATCGCTCGGTGATTGCCTAAAGCGTAAATGTGACGGCAGAAAGGTAAAGTATCTGCGTATCTTAGTATACTCGTATGCATGTAGATACTAATTTTAGCAACAAATAACTTGATTGTTGTTTGCAGAAAGAAGAGGAAATGGAGAAACTTAAAATTTCGAAATTTTTACTTATATATTTACTTTAGATAAGTTTCTAATCGCTGAGCTCTCAGGTACTTACCGTAATATCAATTTCATAGGTCACAGCTTATCTTCTAGCAGCAATAGATATATGTATGTACATGTGTACATATATGTATGTATGTGATTAAATGCAGCTAAATATTACTTCCCTCTTCACTGGTTAAAATCAAATTTGGAAATATGAAAGCTTTTTTAAAAAATTTCCTTTTGATTTGTTTCTTCACTGATTCACTGCTTTCATGTATTCGTCTTACTTTTCACGTATCTTTTATTGGCTTATTAAACAATTTCGCACTATTTTTATATATTACAGCATCAGTGCAGATTTCTTTTTCGAAAATAAATTAAAAAACAACAAACGATACCATCACTGCAACAGCCACTAAACCGGTTTTCGCAGACTTATTTCGTTCGATGTTAAATTCCAAGCAGAAAAATTATGAAAAATCAATCAATACAATGAAATTAATTGTATTGGATATATTTTTTTGTCACATAAATATTACAAATTATTATTATACTCGTAAGTCCACTTATCGCTGATATCGAATACGTAATACCGATAAGACGACAAGGCGTTTACGTTATAGCGGATTTGAGCGTTAAAATATTTCAGCTGAATTTTTCGTACATTGCCATCAATTGTTGCACGTAAATTAAAATTAAATTATATTAATTAGCTCTAATGTATCTTTCAGATACGAGCGCACTAAAATAGCAAACAACACGTACTCAACCGATTAAAGAATAAAACTGAAATATACGAAATTGTTCCACTTGGCATCGCTGTCAATTTGTATCTTTCTTTTTGCCTTTCACAATTTCCAAAAAGTTGCCAGATTCAGTTAAATTGATTAAGGGTATTCACTTAAATTACAGTCTAATTAAAAAAGTTTTCAAATATATGTACCCAGAATTTAAAATTTTTAAGCATATGCATTTTTTTCACAGGAAAATCCATATCTCTAGATTTCAGCAATGAATTTATATAAGAGGGAAGAAGAAAAAAGGCATTCAGGGTTTTCAAAAGTCATTCAATATAAATAAAAATTACTTAAAAATCTTTAAATTACTTATAGATTTACATTTGTATTCCTCCGATTTTTCATGAAATTATTATCCGAATTCTGCGATTATTGGTAGGTGTTTTTGTTTCATTTTTAGCAAATATAATTTTATCAATAACTGCAGCACCAATTCACCACAAAGCTCTACGTGTGCTCGGGCGTAAGCAGAACAAATCTAGTTCGAATATCGAAATTGAGAATAGTGCAAATGTGGCGGTAATAAGTAAACAAAAGTTTTAATAAAATATACTTCCTGCATATATTACAGCTTAAAAATTGCCGGTGATGGAGAGTGTGTAGTGCGAAAAGAAAGCCTTAAAATTAATATTGACATACTTATCAATGGCGTCTGTTAAAATGAGTAACAACGGTAGTAAATCATCCAAGGACGGTGATGATCCACCAGAATTGCGTATACTTTGTTTCGATTTGACCTACTACAATCGCACCACACAATTTCTGTTAAGCTGTGCTGGTGTCTTCGTGCTATACCTTATTTATGGATATTTGCAAGAACTCATCTTTACGGTTGAAGGTTTTAAGCCATATGGCTGGTTTCTAACGCTTATACAATTTGGCTATTATATTTGTTTCGGGTTAATTGAATATGATTTCGAAGCTAGACGTAGATTAAAGCTCCTACCGGGTGCGAGTATTGAAACAATGGAACGTCGTATACCAATGCGTACTTATTTCTTGCTTGCTGCTCTAACATTAGGCACTATGGGACTATCTAACTCAAGTCTTGGCTATCTTAATTATCCTACACAAGTTATCTTTAAATGTTGTAAATTGATACCGGTAATGATTGGGAGTATTATGATACAAGGCAAACGCTATGGACCTCTCGATTTTGCTGCCGCCATTGCTATGTGTATAGGTTTGGCTTGGTTTACTTTGGCGGATTCACTAGTAACGCCGAATTTCAATCTCACCGGCGTGGCAATGATATCAGCAGCGTTGCTGTGCGATGCGGCTATTGGAAATGTACAGGAAAAGGCAATGCGCGAACATCATGCGCCAAGTAGTGAAGTTGTATTGTACTCCTACGGTCTGGGTTTTGTGTATCTCTTGGTTATATTGATGGTTACTGGAAATTTTTTCAGTGGTTTTGCTTTTTGTCTTGAGGTGAGCTTTTTAAGTGAGATTAAAAAAAAATAATAATAATAAGTACAATTCGTCTTTTATGTTGCAGCATTACTTGGAATCATTTGGCTATGGCTTCTTCTTTAGCTTATCCGGTTACCTGGGCATACAATTCGTATTGGCTTTGGTGCGTAGCAGTGGCGCCCCAATAGCTGCTACGGTAACCACAGCAAGGAAAGCTGTAACAATTGCATTATCGTTTGTTTTCTTCAGCAAACCGTTTACGTGGCAGTAAGTTATAACTTGCTAATATTAAATATGCTTGCATATAATTAACAATCTACTTTTAGATACCTATGGTCCGGGTTAGTGGTGGTGTTGGGAATTTATTTAAATGTATACAGCAAAAAGCATAAGATGACTATGAGAGACTTTCAGAATAAATTCAAGAATACCCTTAATGCCTTTCGTGGCTGGGAAAGATCGACAAGCCGCAAGTTCTTGGTGGAAGTTTAAAATTCACCGATTTTATTAATATTTCTTGTAAATACAAAGGTATCTTAAATACCTTGCAAATGTATAGATCTTTGTTACCACTATGATACCAAAATTAGTGTAATTATGGGAAGTAGAATTGAATTTTAGTAAAACCATTAGATGTAGTTCTTTCGTCTTAGTCGTGATAATTCACTTCTTTTCCCACCTTATGTTTAAAGTAAAATACAAACTATTATAATGTATATACGTACATGTGTGACGTAATCTTTATTATACTTAATCGAGGGTAAATAATAATATATGTTGCTGAACTAACTTAAAAGTTATTTTAGCTTTGATTATAATTTTATGTATATGGTTGTATGACGAAAATTTAAATATATATAAATGTATGTACAAAGGAGTTCACTCTTAATTGCTTATAGTTATATGTAAATAAAATATCAAAAAATTAGACAAAATTGTTGTAAATTATTGTTCTAAATCAAACTCCATAACACGTTTAATAAAGTCCTTACGCTCCTTTGCCGAGGCGATTTGGCCCACCATTTCATCTAAAAATCGTTGCTGATGACTTATTATAAATTTATTGCATTGTATTATAGTAGCGCCAGTGTAGAGAGTATGGAATTTAGCGCGAACGTCACCTATCTGATGAGAAGGAAATGTATAATGGAAGCCTGCCAGATCAGCACTCGTTAACTTACCATTGTTATCAATGGCAATGTGCTTGCCACTATGCGGTGTGAACGATGTAGACATCGAATTATGGCCACCTTAGTCCGTTCATTGCAGTACTTCACCCGAAAGCCGTGCTCAACAATGCCCAGTCCATAGTCGCCTTGGTATTTCTTCACATTGCGCAGCACACATTTCGTTAGTACACCGTCGTGAAAGTTTAGTACCTTTGTTGGTTCTTGTGGTACAATTCGCACAACTATATAACTGAAATTTTGAAGAAGAGTGTAATTTAAATACATAAACTATTTTTCTTTTATAATTTTACCGATTTTTAATGCGAACCATATTTATTTACGTATCACACTTATCTGTTGATTTTCGAAAATAAACTAAAATCAGCTGTGCGCAAAGATGTAGCCAGAGTTGCCAGATCTAGAAATTACATAATTTTCGAATCAAGAAAGTGGCATCCACGACTCGACTCTTTACCCAGTATAATCAGCGCAAGGGTTTGCTTTAATTTAAAAGTGGAGTCTGACGTAGGCAATAAAAAATTTGAAATTGTATGTCAAAATGATTTGGAAATTTAATTTCAAGAGCAGCCTCATGTAACTTGAAAATTTCCACTTCCTGAACATTAGCTTATTTCACTATAATTTATCTAAAATCTTCATTGGCAATACTTAAATCATTTGACCGAAATTCCGAAAATTTTCTGAAAATAAAAAATTGTTGTGTTTGGAATTTGAAAAATTCGGAAACTAATTTAAGTGTGTTCACACGCCGAAAATGATTTATTTTTACAGAAAAAAACGTGGAGGAAATAAATATTGTGCTAAATTTGCTCCAGCTGACGAAACCTTCAAGCCTAAAGGCCTAGTTTAATGTGAAATTAGTTCTCCCAACAAATCAAGTACATCCCGTTGACTTTGAGTCGGTTAATATCTTAAGGAGCCGCAGAGCCGAGGGCTACTGCCCCTCGATTGTATTGCTTGTCCTTAAAATCTATCAGCCCTTGGTAGATAGGTTAGAATAAATTGCAGACACGTACCAAAAATTTGAAGAGTTGCTCGAATATCGCTTCAGCCTCGATAAAAATACTCCAAATACAATGTTTTTCAATAAAAGAAGTGTAGTTTTGTGTACTGCATTGTATCTATATATGTGACGTATAGGTTTCCACTCTATTTATGTATAAATACTCTCTTCATTTATATTAGATTTATCAAGTTCTTCGGAGATTTGGAACTAAGATTGTGGGCTACAATTGTAACTTCTATAGACAGCATAAATATTTGCGATAAGATACCGTAAGTTCATCATCATTCACCGTAAGTTCAGCAGCCCATCTACTCATACACTTCATGAATCTTTAGCTTTATAACTACTTAGTTGCTGTTCTTCATCCTTATTTGCCTGTGAACAGACCTCACCAACGCATTTGGAGTTACCAAGTGAAGCTGAGTCACTCCTCACATGATTTTTCACACCGATTGGCGATATTCCTTTGGCAATTGAAATTTATGTGCCTATAAGAATTCTGTAGTGACTCGGTTTTCTCTCTCGTGGCAACCTATTTGGTCAATCATATCTATTGCGACGCTATATACCAACAACAAGCTTGAAATCTCAACGTAATCGCGACTTTTCGTTGTCACCACAAAAACAAGATACTGCGTTGCTCCTGAAAGTTTTAGGAATAGTCGAATAGTCTCGCCGATCGTGGCAGCTCGGATCACTATCATCTCATCCCAAAGACTCCTTATAAAACTGTAAAAACTTAGCAGAAACGTGTTAGCCTAGAAGCTCCGTGACTACATCGCACTGCACATGGTTTTGGGCAAACTCGGCGCACAGAATGACGGTTAATCGGAGAGAAATATTAAATGCAGTTAGCAGTAGGAAGTGAACTATCAATTAGACGCTGTAACAAGCTCTAGCTAAGATGAATGCAACTATAGCAGCTTAAGTGCGTGGAAAGAAATTTATTTAAAACCCAAATGAGCTTCAACGGTGAGCAAGTTTTTTTTTTTTTATCTTTCAGTATTTCGACAGGAGGCCGTTGGAGCTATTAGCTCAATAGTCTGGGTCGATATAGTTAGTCGTCTTTATTTGTCAACCGTCTCGGTTTCAGTGCTCGTCACTACGTATCCAGTACGTATGTAAGTTACCTGGTCCACATTAGTGTCAGTCGCTGGTGCGCTGTTATCGCGCCTTCGCCTCTGCTGTTCGCTCCATCGGAAATGCTGCATTATTTCAGCTGCAATTCCGCTAACTGTAATCCAGGCATATTCATTTTCCAGCATGCATTTAACGAGAGTTTCTGGCGACAAGTCGTTATATAGAGACAGTGAGCATGTAAGCAGAGACACACATTTGCAATATTTCTTATGCATTTGTTGAATTCATTCAGTTCATGCATACAAATCCAGATTGCCAACGAGCCGTTCACACCACCTCACTTGAGTAAAAACGTGAGTAAGCTCAAGCCAAGCAGCCTACCTACATACACACTCGTAAGTAGATGCAATTTGAATAGAGAGTACATGTTCTAGCTCAGCTCATTGCATGAAAAACAGTTAATTAAAAATTTACCACGCTCCCCCCGCCCAGCTATAATTGGTACCGCTGGAGAGTAGAGCAGGTGCGATGTGTACTATAATCAAAAACATTTTGAGCTAAATGAGCACATACTTTGTGGGTGTTGAGCACAGCTCGAGAGTGTGACAATTTTACAACAATTTCTCGTAAACAATTTAAGACTATGTATTCTCATTCCATATGCAATTTAAATAAACAATACGAAGCTTTTCTACGTCAATCAACTCAGCAGACCAACCGACCGACCACTGGATCTCCATTATCAGTAATTTTTTTTAGCTTTCAGCGATTTATGGCAAATTTTCTACTGATAATGCTTAAAATATAAATAAAACTACGTGAATAGACAAATCGCGGGTCAATTAAAAGCAGAAACGCTCAGTCTTTCTCAGATCGCTAGCGCTCACGGTGCGAACAAGTCGCCAAATTGAAAGCAACGACAAGACGGCCGTTAGTTTGAATAGTGAATAAACGCGAATTTGTATTTCGGACCGGTTCTTTTGCGTTGTGTTGTCTACAGATTGTTGATATTGCGCCTCTTCACGCGTCATGAGCGATAATACATACTTTGTGGGTGTTGATGTGGGCACGGGCAGTGCCCGTGCAGCGCTTGTCGATTTAAAGGGGAAGGTTCTGCAGCAACATGTAAAGGCCATACAGACTTGGAACTCGGAACGCGACCATTATGAGCAATCATCCGAGGATATTTGGAATGCGGTCTGTCATTGTGTGAAGGTGAGAATGTGGTTATAAAGATCGCTACAAAATGAAATGCAAATTTTATTAAGCGCGTCTACAATAAAGTTAAGGTGATAAGGAAAGATTTGACCTTCACGTATAACCTTTGTTTTTAGCTTAAACTAATCAATTTAAATTGATTTTAGAACGTCATCCAAAACCAAGGGGTCCCATGCATTTACAAGTTTTGTATTTAACGGTTTACTGATAAGTTTAAAGTTTGCTGTTGTGTTTATGGCTTACGGTAGTCAAGAAGAGTGAACGATTAATAAGAAGCTGTTGTTGTTGTAGTTGATGGATGTTCTACAAGGCAACAACAACAACAAGTAATATTAAGCAAATAAAAAATTTCTTTATGGCTTATTCGTAAGTCGCCAACAGAAACTACTTCAAAAGGCCGTTGACAAAAGATTTCCCTAGTAAGGAAAAATACGCTTCTTGGTCTAAATTACTCTGATGTAAAAATGAATAATTAGAATTGTTGTTATATTTGTTTTAACCGCAAAAATACTCCCCAAAGTACTTTTTGGGGAATATTCCGAGAGGGACAGTCCTTAGCCGGATAAAAATCCGCGTCGTTCCGGTATAAAGACCCGACTGTGGCGGGAACTATTAAATTTCGCCTTTTACTACAGGCATGCCCTATAGCGGGTAAGCTCTTGAACTCCTAACCCGCAGGGGGCAATAATTGTAATTCCACCCTATCGCTGTTGAGAGAGTAGAAAGTAATAGGGTTTCCCTAATTCCATTAAACGCTTTTAGCGGTGTCAAGATATATGTATGTATGGATCTCCTCGAGCCATCTATATTACTTTTTAGAGCTCAGTAATTCGTTAAATTGTTTTTTCCATTTTAGATTGTGACCAAAGACATCAATAAAGAGTATGTGAAAGCGATCTCTTTCGACGCTACTTGCTCTCTGGTCGTCTTGGACAAAAAGGGTGAGCCACTCACAGTTAGTAGGACCAATGAAAACGAACGGAATATTATACTGTGGATGGATCATCGTGCACAGGCCGAAGCCGCACTAATCAATGCGACCAAACACGAGTTGTTGCAGTACGTTGGCGGCCAAGTATCACTTGAGATGGAAATACCAAAATTGCTTTGGCTCAAGGGGAATATCAAGAGTACCTGGAACAAAATTTGGCGTGCTTTCGATTTGCCAGACTTCCTTACGTGGCGTAGTACCGGCGTTGATACACGCTCACTCTGTTCGGTGGTTTGTAAATGGAATTACGATGCTATGAATATGCGTTGGAGTGTAGATTTCCTTAAGCAGATCGGCTTAGATGATTTGTGTGTTAATAATTTCGAAATAATTGGGCAACGCATCTGTGAGCCTGGTGCGGCGGTAGGCGCAGGTGTGTTTAAATGAATTTTTATAAAGCTTCAATTTCTCTCTAAATCTTACTATCATCAATAGGTTTAACCGAACAAGCCGCTAAGGACTTATCACTATTGCCTGGTACAATTGTGGGCACTTCACTAATTGATGCGCACGCCGGCGCTTTGGGTATGTTCGGCTGTCGTGCTGCTTTAGAAGCGAGTGATAAGCTGCTTGAGACTTCACTGGATGATCTACAAGGCAAGATGGCACTTATATGTGGCACATCGACCTGTCACATGAGTTTAACACGCGATCCTTGCTTAGCGCATGGTGTTTGGGGTCCTTATAGGGGCGCCATATTGCCGGATTATTTTCTCAGTGAAGGTGGACAGAGTGCGGCTGGCATATTATTGGATTTTGTGGTAAAATCACATACACAATATACCAATATACAAGCGAAATTGGGCAAGAATGAGTGAGTGGAGCGGATAAATACCTTTTTGATATTTTTTATTTTTATGACAAATTATTTATATTTGAAAGGCATATCTATACATATTTGAATAATCTATTGGAGAAGATGTGTTCGGAGCGTAAGTGTGGAGATATTTGTTATCTAACAAAGGATCTACACGTGTGGCCGGACTTTCATGGCAATCGTTCGCCTATTGCAGATCCGAATTTGAGGGGCATGGTAAGTGTGACATGCTGTACTATAAAAATATTAAGTAGCTGACAATAAATACCAATGAATGTGATAAATAAATTGTTTATTTACAATTGTATTAACAATTATGTATGAATATATGTACATAAATAGCACTCAACGAAATTTATATCTTGTAGATATCCGGCCTGAATATGAATGCGGACGAGGAGTCGTTGGCCCTCTTGTATTTGGCTTTTGTACAAGCATTAGCAGTGAGTAACATTATAATTTATTGATAAACATCAAAAGCACTTCAGGCTCAAACACACACAAAATCTACAACACTTTTTTTTATTATCTCTTTATTCATAGTATGGCACCCGTCACATCATCGATAACCTTGTCGAAAAATATAAACGTGTACCTTACAGTAGTATGCTGTTCTGCGGTGGTCTCGCAAAGAACAATGTTTACGTACAGGCACATGCCGATATCTGTCAATTGCCCGCTGTGATACCCAATGAGCAAGAAATGGTTTTGGTCGGTGCTGCAATGTTGGGCGCATGCGCTGCAAAGGCTTATGAGACTTTAGAGGTGGGTTTCAAGATTAGTATGGCATGCAATCTTTTTACTTTTAATTTACCACCTACAGATTACCTCAAAGGAAATGGGCGGTACCGGCGTGTTGCTCAAGCCGAAAGCATCGACTAAAGATTATCACAATCGCAAGTATCGCGTTTTCCTACAAATGCTAGAGGATCAGCGCAAATACAAAGAGATTATGGAGAAATGAGTAAAGATAAAACAAGATGAAATAATTAAATTATGTGTTCTTATACATTTATTTTATCGTCATTTTCTGACATTTGGCTAATTGGTATGATTTTTAATGACTTCGCTTAATATTTTCTGTGTTGTTGTTATGTGTTATTAAATATGTAACTAATTACTTTAATTTTTTGTTTATTACATTTTATGCTTTTACGCATCCATACATTTGTGCCCGCACTTAAGTTTTTATTGTTGTATTGAATGGCTTCTGCACTACACTTTTCTACTATTTCTTTTCTTGTTCGAATTATGCAATGAATGCGGCTGCTTTCGTTCCGATTTTACCGCGGCACACGGGGCATGTTATACGTATCTTCTCGGAGCAATCTTCGCAGATGCAAACATGTCCACAGGGCAATATGATGACCTGTTATACGATATAATTTAATAATTTTCGAATTTGGCATTTGGGAAATTTGTATTTATAGCATATTTGGTTTGTCACTCACCTCTTTTGGATTCGTTGAGCACACGACGCACAATTGTTCTGTGGTAAGATTAAGTGGTCGTGTACGAGAACGTCTTTCACGTCGCTCCTTTTCTAGAGTTTCTTTGATTTTACGTTCATCACGATCTTGTCTCCTTTTGGCACATATCTTACGTATTATGAGGCTAATTAAAACAGCTGAGACTGTGCCAAATATGACGATCTTAACGCTGAAAAAATTTAAAGGGTATTTATAAAATACATATAAAAAAAAAAATACAACACAATGCACCCACATCATAGACGATTTGGCCTCCTCTAATTTTTTAATTAAAGTCGACTTGGTAGCAGTCGTTAAAAATAGTGGTCCCACGGGCGATGGTTGTAGACGCAAGGTTTTACCATCCAATTCTAATTCACCAATGGCCGTTATGAAACTACCATCACGCAGTACTTCTTCGGTGGTCTGCAGTCCTTTTTGCCGGACGCCCGAAAAAAAGCCGAATACATGGTCGAAAAATGAAAGGGACGATGGTTCGTAGTTATCATAAACAACATCCAAGTCTAGTACAGCAGCATTTAGCGCGTCAATGATTTCAACATTACAATCGTTGTTGCGCAACTCAAAGGGCATTTCATTCGATGATACGTGTATGAGCTTGCGTTGTTCGGTCCAGAAACCGGCAAAGCCGCGTGTAACACGGTGCTCGCTGGAGTATATGGAGATAACGTTAGTCTCCAGAAATTTCATTGATATCGAATAATACAGCTTACCTCAATTTTATTACTTGTAGCACAGCGGTCACCGATGGCGACATAACACTGCGCATTGGCACACCAATTGGTGTAACAGTACCACGTACAACGGCATAAGGTATCTTTTTGTCCTTTTGTACACTTACGAATTTCTTCAGATCACCATCCAAGGCTAGTTGTGGCGCGGCCTGAAATGAAATAGAGCGTAAACCACATGCAATTGTATACTAGTCTCCCCCCGAGATATTCACTATTGAACTCACCTTCAGACAGTTTACACTTTTTTTGTAGCTAATATATTCTCTTACGCACAAACCTAGAATTAGCAAATCGACTCCAAGTGCGATGGATTCGTGCAAAAACTCCATTATTGATGCAAAAGTTATTTTTTTTGGTTTAATTCGAAGACTATTTACATTTTTTCTATGAATGTTGTGCAAAATGCTGATAAGAATGTGGAGAAATGTTTTGACAATTGATAAAGAAGTGCAAAGAGGAACGTCAAAAGAGTGTCACAATTGTATGTGCTGCCAAGTTTGAAATAAAATAACGGATGTTGATAACTATTTCCGCTGCTTATTTTTCTAATAGTGAAATAATGTAAAGTACAACTGCATAAAGTGGCCTACATATATGCATATTGGAAAAGTTTTCTTTCACAATTTGAAGTAATAATAAATGTAATGATTGATTGATGCAAAAGCAACCGGAACCGGGAACCGCTTGAAGATGACAAATGACAAGCCAGCGGAGAAAATGTTGGAAATTTGCAGCGCTAAGAGTTGAAACACTGTTTGTAGATAAATCATCTTATTCTATTTATTACTATAGGACCATAACTAATAAAATAAATGGTTAAGTACAGCTACAGGAAGAGACCTACACACATGCATATTGGATAAGTTTTCTCTTCCACCATTTGGAATAGTTTAAAAGTAAAGATTCTTCAAGCAACTTACACTTTCTTGTTCGTGCCAAAAGTACTTCGCACACAAAAAAAGCAAGTGCTTGTAGTTAGATTAATTTGGATGTGTCCAATGAGAAAAGCAGCGGAGAAAATGTTTGATGAAAAATCTGTTCTCGATGAACTATTTTATTCTATTATTTCCTATGTGACTAGATGAAGTTGAGAGTTCGAAATTACTTCCACTCCGTAGAAACCGAATTCAATTACAAATACACATACAAAAACTGCTTGTCTGAAAATGAGTGAAGGAAAAACAGTGATGATGATAATAATCAAGGCACTCCAAGTCTTGGATTAGCAATCTTATAGCAGTTTTTTACATAAAATTGTTATTACCGATTGATATTTAATGAAGCCGAAAAATATACTTGCTCTAAATATATGTATATTGATTTTTTGGTCATTTGGTTACACTTTATGTAAATTAAGCGAAAAAATAAAACACTCATTTATTTGTCAAGTAAAGTAAATAAAAATACTTCACAAAGTAAATATGTAAAATCAGCTATACATGGTAATTAAAGTATATTTGAATGACTACGAAAGTCATTTTAGGCAAAACAAATATTTATCAGAACTTTCTAAGATTTCTTAGTCGTTTTTTAAGTTTTCGTTATGAATCATTTGCCATACGTACCGGCGTGTGTTTCTACCTATACATACATACATATTATATATATGGATGTATGTACCTTTCTTTATCTCATTACACATAAAATGATACAATAAATATTGATTTCAAAGCTTTTATTTGGGATGCTTGGCTGAAGTTACTTCAGAATAGTAAAAGACTTTGCGGTTGATAGATGACTTGCAAGATACAATTCGAAGAGTAGACTTTTATTACTTAAAAAATTGCAGTTTTGTAATACGTTCAATTAAGAGATACGAATTTTTCGACACTGAAAGAGGAGTACTACTTGATAATTTAATAAAATTCATATTTAATTTACAATAACGTACAGAAATAATGGGACTTTTAAACATCCAGTCAATACTTGTGGTGAGTCTTAAACGTGGCAACATTTTTCTCTATATTAAGGCAATTAATAAGTACCGAGTAGGAAATTTTGGCTTAAAAATATATATTAAACAAATTAAGTATATTTTGTTAAAAGTCATGACTCCGAATAAAGTTTTCCACGCATCACTAAGCCACTGAAAATAATTTTATATCTCTCTCTTCCACAGCTCGTCGGCCTGCTGAACATCTCATGGTTCACCTCAACCCTCTGTCAGATTCAACCGCGGGAAACGAATACTTGTGAGGACCGTCAGACGACAGGCAACATTTGCGAGTCCTGTGAACTGTTGTCCACATGTGTACGCAACTCCAGCGGCTGGATGATAATACCCATCGAAATATGCGATACAACCAAAGGATTCTATTGCAACTCCCGTCTCGGCATGTGCAGTAATGCGACCGGGCCTTGTCATCCCTTTGCCATGGATGGCAATTTCCCCTGCACCTCACAGGGTATTTTCCCCGATCCATATGATTGTCAGAAATATCACATGTGCTACTTTGCCGGCGTCACTCTGGTGGCGGTGACCCTCGAATGTTCCGGTAATAAAGCATTTAATGCTGCAACCGGTCAATGCACGGCTACATTGCAAGATGCCATTTGTTTGGTGCGACAATTTCAGTGTGATAATGTTGGCGATGCACATCCTTGGCCAAATAGTCCGAATGTGTTCTACATTTGTCGTGCTTTATCGCAGCAAGATGAGCGTGTGCTCTATCCATCGCTTTATCGGTGTGCTGATGGCGAAGTATTCAATGGACATGCGTGTCAACAAGCCAATTTTCCACTGGACCCAATAACAACAACAACCGCGATTACACCAACAACACGGAGTTCATTTGGTAGTGACAGTTCGTCAACTGAAACAGCACCTTTTGAACGCGCCTGCACGGAGGTTGGTCTTTCGGTTGATGGGGAAGATTGTACCAGCTACTATTATTGCTCGGCTGTGAATGGCATTAAACGTCATCGCAAGTGCCCGTCCGGCACGCATTTTAGTACCAAGTATGCATCCTGTATTTTTGGTTTGTGTACAAATTGAGTGATTTCAACAAGTGGTTTTGAGTATTGAAGAAGAAAGTAAAATAAATATATGCACATAATTTCAATTATTTAAAAGCAAATTGTTTTTTTTTTTTCGGAAAATGATTTTTAGATTAGACCTAAGTTTTACGCTGACATAAAATATTTATTTTGAGAAGTTCATGGATGAAGGCTGGTCTTAACATCTTAAGTTCGTATCGGAGGCGTTTGCAGATTACCAAGAGTTGACGATAATGCAGCTCTAAGCAACTACTATGTATACGTATAGCTTGTTTCCGTATTGACTGCTATTAGGAGAACGTCTTTGAATCGTCCCGAAATTTCCTCCAAAATGACTGGATTTGATTAAACTACTACACCCTACTCAGTTTCACGATTTCTCACAAGTACCGCTCTCTAAGTGCACCACAAGTCCTTCGCGCAAAATTCTTTCGAAAACTTCTCAATTCGACTCATCAGATGATCTCTACGTGCACACGTCTATACTATATAATAGAATGAGAATAATGAGCGACTTGTGGAGTTTGGTTTTGGTTCGTCGGCCAAGGACTTTAATTGGCTATTCATTACAACGTAGCACCTATTGGCTGATATTAGCTGTGTTCGGTGAGAAATCTCTTCAAAAATTAGTCTATAAGATATGAGAGATAATACTCTCCCAAAGAAATTTACTGTGTTTTCACCGAAGACGATTCAGCAAAAATACAAATACAAACTAATCCAAATGACCGCCTCTTGAATTTTGCGAATTTCAATGCGTTTAAGTTAATTTTGCGGTATTTCAGCCCTAACTTGACGAGTGTTGTTGTTTCTAACTTCTGCATAGCTAAGAATTTATTCCTATAAACACGCTCCTTCATGTAGCCCTACAAAAATATTGCAACGGTTTCAAACCGCACGATTTCATCGCCAAAACGACAAATTAAGCGGCAGAGAAAATTTCTCTCACAATAAAGGCATATTCGCTCGTGTTGTGTGACATCTAGCGCCATCTTGTTGAGGCCACATATTGTACAAATCGTGTTCCTTAAATGCAGGCCTAAAAAATCTGCTATCGCCCGACTCTAATGTTCCAACAGTCTCATCGTTAAATTAAGCTAAATTTTCTAATTGCGGTCGCCACTAGGCAGGGAATGTCAACCCCTCGGAATGTATTTCTGACATTAAATAAAAGCTCCTCATTAAAAACCAGCTGCCTTTCGGAAGCGGCTAGTATAAACACCATTTTTTGGAAAAATATCCAGACGTATACCACGAATTTGGAGGAAGAGCTCGGCCGAAAATCGCTTCATCGGGTACAAAGCGCCAATTATATATACAAATCTATATATATATATATATATATATAAGGTCTAATCACACCTCCGGACAAGAGATCGTACCAGCAAGTAAGCTTTTTTGGGTCTCTCTTCAATCATTTGGGTATTCTCCGAGATCCAAACGTGACATTTTTGCTTATTTACGTATCCCCCGAGTGTGAAATGAGCCTCGTCGCTGAAGAAGATATGTTCGAAAAATCGCCGTCCACTGCTTGTTGTTCACCCAATCAATCAGTGCTCAATTTAAGTCCAAGTACAAAATGCGTCATAATGTGCCTGAGGAAAGTGCGGCTTTTTGAGAGCCTCGAGAAATATCGACATTCGGATCTTCGGCTACACTTTCACTTACAGTCGCGATATTTGAGAGGGAACGTGCAAAACGATGAGGCATAGGCCTTACAATATCTGTAGCAGAGCCAGTCTCTTAAAATTATGTATACATTTTATCAATGGTTTGAGTAGTTGGACGATCATATGTACTATAATCTATTCTAAAAGCACGAAATGTGACCAAATTTGAGTCACCATCCTTATAGTAGAATTTAACAATTTCAACGATTTTTGGGGTTTGACAGTTAAATTTGAAAAATATCAAAATACAGCCTTTTTACCTTTTAAACCTCGAAATGGATAGCCCGATATTTTAATTTATTATTTGTATTCAAAAATTTATGCTCTTGTTCGGTCAGCTACTGCCCATTAGCATCATCAATTCTTACCAATACTTGCTAAGGCAAAAAACAGTTGAAATTTTCTCAGAGAGAGCGCAATTTTGGCATTTCGTTACTGGTTAATGCTGTAACTATCCATCTTACATACCTCACAGTCGTACCACCCGACTGGAAGTGAATATACAAACACGACTATTTTCTGTGGGAGAACCGTCAGTAACGGCAGCGGCAGGCGGTGACAACTTTTCATTTACATGCCGCTCTCCTAAGATAGATTGCTATGACTGGAAGGTATGTAAGTTGGGTAGTTGCCGCATAATACTTACTGACATTTCTCACCGAACAGAGCTACTGTCAACAACGACGTGAGAGTTAGGACGCTAACCCGCTATATTTTAACATAAAAAATAATTTAAAATAAAACGGAAGTTCCTGATTTACAGCTTCTAGACATCAAATATGGATTCTTGCCTTCATTACACTCACCTAAGCTCTCACTGAGAGTGGCTTGAATATTAAAATAAAAAAAGTGTGACCACTGCTTTTACTACGTCACTCCGTAGGTACTCACGAGCTAACACCAAGGTGTGGCACAACAAACTTTCATTTCAAAGTCCATATTGGACACCCCTTTATAATAGACCTTCTTTTTTATCTTTTGTAGAAAAGAGTTTGAAAAACAAACTCGGAACCTAATCTTTAATTATGTATTATTTTATTTATAGATAAATGTATATAAATATGTATTAGAATAGAATTAATTTAGCACTGAGAAAGAAAGTATAAAAATTAAAATTATTCTGCTTAAAAATTAGTTAAATTTGAACATTTAAAAAATAAAGTACAAAAGGCAGAGCGTTAAGAAAATATGCAAGTGCATTTGCTGTTTACTTTTCTGGTACGTTATGGCATACAAATTGACAAAAATCCATCTTTCACACCCCGCATACATATTAACATTTCTTCCAGTGTTGCATCTTTTCATCAGCACAAAGTCAGACGTCGTGTGACGGCAGTACCGTGGACTTTTATTGTACAACAGATAACAACGTCGCAATATGTCCTGCATCAACTTCCACGGACAATGTCGTTATAACTTGTAGCCTGGGTACGATTTGTAATCAGCAAACTCCATCTAACGGTTGTCGCAGCCTCACCACAACGTCTACAACTCTTGTGGGTTCATGCACAGATAGAAAGATGAAAAGATCTGTCTCGTCTTGCGCTTCTTACTATCGATGCCTTAACGGTGTAATGAGATCGTATCAATGCCCAACTGGAACCTGCTATAATGACAGTATTTCAGCTTGCGTGATTGGAGAATGTGTCAGTGGTGTTTGTACGAGAGCAGCATTGTTGACCAGTGTAGCTTGATGGAAATTATCTCAATAAATAAAATATTATGTTAAAATTTAAATAAGTAAGGTGATGTAATGCAATTGAATGGCATAAATTTAAATAAGTGTAAAAAATGTTATTCTCCTGGAAATTTTTCCGCTATTTTGACCATTTGATATATTTTTTTTTTTGGGGTGAGGTTAAGAAAAATGCCTTCCGCATCATCATTGTGTCATCACATCAGTGGTATGTGCCACTGGCAGGTCATTAAAAAACTCTTCTCTAAGGAACAGTTGCCCACACCGGAACCCCTTTCGCATTACTTCAGGTTGGCGTTCAATTTTTCTCGTAGTGAGATTTACATCTCGCCACCTGCGTCCAGGTGCCGCTATTCGCTCTTACCATGCGTTCTATGAAATCTCTTACACTTTCCCAGCCTCTTTCACTTGTGAGCGTGACTGAGGCAATGCTGTCTGTGTTTAGTGGTCCGACCGTGTCTTCGAGCCTACTATCCTCAGCTTGTCATCGTGCGCTATTGAAGAATGCGTGTTCGGCGTCATCTGCGTTGGCATCGTTGTATTTTTTGTGAATATTTCAGGAAATATCTGGGCCCTGATAGCATCTTTGTGATATAGTAGTCATCTGTTATTAAACTGGCCGTCCATCGGCCGCGGTTTTCTGAATCCCATCGGGCGTACCGCTAGTTCGGGACTTCCTTTCTTTTTGGTATTGATGACGCTACATGGGCCCTCATTTTCTGAGTGCCCAGCTCCTTTTCCATTCGGATGTCAAGAGGTCGATGGGAAGGCATCCGCTTATTACTGATACTACTTCACCTTATATGCTTAAAAGCTTCCTATTTTCTTGGGTCGGTCCAACGATATTGGCCATTCATCTTCTGAGTTGAGAATTGGTTCCAGCGGATTTTTCCGCGACGTGTTGGATTTGCGCCCAGAAACTTAGTCTGAAATCTAGTTTTACACCTAAGTATTTTATACTTTTTGTCGTTCTCTAGATATCGGAGGATGTGTGCATGTAAACTTCCAATGGGATGTGCGTCATCTTTAGAAGTAGCACCTCGGTTATTTCTGTAGCAAATCTTAGACCGCGTGAATCAAGCCAAATCTGCGTCCCTAGCATTAGCTGGTTTAGCTTTCGACCTGCATCTTCCATATTGCGTGCGGTAATTATAGCGGCAATATCGACCGCCCACCCGACGAAATAAGTGTCATCATTGACTTAAGGGTTCCAATATATGCTATGCTGGACTTTATACTTCAGTATATAGTATAATTGGCGCTTTATAGCCGCTGAAGCGTTTTTGGGCCGAGCTGCTCCTCCAAATTGTGGTTTTACGTCTTGGATGTTTTTCCTACAAACGGCAGACGGTTTCTTTTTATGAAACCTGTATAAACAGTGAGAGGGGGGAGAGAGGGAGAGTGAGAGGGGAGGAGAGAAGAGAGGGGGAGAGAGAGAGTGAGAGGGAGTGAGAGAGAGTGAGAGGGAGTGAGAGAGAGTGAGAGATAGAGTGAGAATGAAAGAGATAAAGTGAGAGAGTGAGAGGGAGAGGGGAGATAGAGAGAGAGAGAGAGAAAGCTAGAGAGAAAGCTAGAGAGATATAGAAAATTAGCCATAATACAAAGACCTCCAGAAAATTGTAAAAACATTTGGAAGCAAAGACAATAATAAAAAAATAACAGTTAATCTTCAGAATGATAATTGTAAAGCAAACCAAGAGCCAGTCCTCTACTTCATTGAAAAGATCATTTGAAGAAAAATCTGGCTTCCTTTCGTATCATCTATATCCGCCGACCAGCTGGCGTGCTTCTGTAGACTCGGCTCTATTTGCGAAAGCGTTGTCTAAACCAATAGAGAAGAAGAAGAATATAAGCGAATTCTTGTATCTACTGAACCGTCATATCTATTGAGGCAATTTTTGGTAGTTTGCCTATTAGATTAATTCAAATTTCGGAGATAATTTTTGTTTTGCACTGTAAAAAATAATTGTGTCAAGGTTATCTTATAAATATATTGTATTATATATTAACGCTTTTACGACTTTAAATTTGAGGCCTCTATTAACAATACTAGATCAAAGAGTAAATGGTAAATGTATAATCTCTTTGGGTAAAATAGATAAGAAATAAACAAGAGCGACTAATTAAATTGATCATGTCGATGGCAATTATGGAGAAAGGTGTTTGGCACCACTTGACCTACCGTCGGGTATGATGACTTTGGGAGCCATCAATCCAAGTAGATTTTAATAACACCGTTTGGAAACAAATCGGTTGGAAATAAGTATTTATCGCTCGAATAATGTAATAAACTGGAGGTTTGCTTCTTCACTTTACTTATCGAACCAACTTGTACCAGCTCTTACGTCCCTACCAAACGTACTTTGTGCGTGGAGATCATTCCTAATTTATTTCCTAAAGGTGTGTGTGCACTTTCGAGCTAATTAATCGTTACAACCAATAATTGTTTGGCAATTTCTTTATCTGAAACACGTGTTGTGATAAATTTGGCAAAAAACTAAATTAAATTGTGTTATTTACTATTTCAAAGAAAGTGTATAAAATTGCTTCAAATTGGTTAGTGGAAGTTTAACACCGGCGTAGAAAGCAAAGAGACCAAAGAACCGCAAAATGGATTACTTTACTTGCACGAAACTCTGGATATTGGTGAGTTTTTTTGGAATTCATTTATAAAAGGGGATATTTATATGATTTCAGTTAATTTAATTTAATTAAAAAAAAATAATAAAAATTAATTAATTTATTACATTTAATTTAGTTTAACTTTATTTTATTCAATAAATTCTTTTATTTAATTTTATGTAAATCTACACTATTTTATTTCATTTCTTTTTTTTTATTTCATTTGTTTCATATTATTTGTCCTAATTTTTTTAGCTTAAATGAATAAATTGTATTCTACTTTGCTTAAAACTATAAATTTAATTTAATTTAATTTTTTTTTAGTTTTTTACATTTTATAAATCTACACTATTTTATTTCATTTCTTTTCGTTTCTATTTATTTGTCTTAATTTTTTTTAGCTTAAATTAATTAAATTGTATCTTTCTTTGCTTAAAACCTTAAATTTAATTTAATTTATTTTATTTTTAGTTTTTTTATGCCATTTTGTCTTATTGAATTTTAATTTATTTTTATTTTTCTTAATTTATTTTTTTTTGTTTAAGTTATTTTATCACCTTTTATTTCATTTCACTTAATTATTTTTATTTCTTATATTATTTTTATTTCACTTAATTTAATTTGTTTAATTTATCTATTTTTTTCTTCTATTTAAGTTTTTTTATTTTATTTTATTTTTTATTCTTTCATTTTACTTTATTTAATTTTGCTTTATTTTATTTTTCTTTATTTTCTTCTATTTTATTTCTTTTACTTTATTTGTTTAAATTATTTTACTTGTTTTATTTTATTTTAATTTGTTTCATTTTGTTTCTTTCATTTTATTTTATTTTAGTATTACTATTTACTACTAAAAATAATATCATTTTTTTTTATTTGTTCTACTTCTATTTTACTTTTCTACATTTGTTTCATTTTTAATTTTTTATTTAATTTTTTTGTTTTTTTTTTCTATTTCTTCAGTTCAATTTTCATTTTTTATTTAGTTTAATTATTTTTTATTTTAATTTTTTATTTTCTTTGATTTAATTTAATTTCATCTCACTTTATTTTATTTTATTTATTTTTTTTAAATTTTTTTAATTTTATTTAATTAAACTCATTCAATTTGATTTATCTTTATTTCCCTTTGCTTGATGTTATATAATTTAGTTTTATAACATTTTACTTTATTTTATTTTCCTTTATTTAATTTTCATTTAATTTATTTTCACTTGTTTTTCTTTGATTTAATTTAATTGAACTTAACTGTATATATATTTTAATTATTTTCTTATTTTTTATTCTATGTTTTTAATTTTTTTTATTTGATTATATTTAATTAAATTTTATTTTATATTATATTATTAAATTTTATAACATTTAATTTAAATTTTATTTTATTTTACTTTATTTGATTTTTTTAATTAAGTGTAATTTTATTTTGCTTGGTCTTATTTAATTTGGTATAATTAAATTTAATTTACTTTTTATTTTCATTGAATTTAATTCAATTTTATTTGTTTTCTTTTGCTATAATTTAATTGAACTTAATTTTATATAAGTATTATTTAATTTCATTATATTTTCTTTTATTCCATTTATTTTTGTTTAATTTTCTTTGATTAAATTAAATGAAACTAAATTTGACTTTATTTAATTTTATTTGATTTAATTTTAAATAGATTTTTGTTTAATTTAATTTAACTTATTTTATTTTCAATTTAATTTTATTTAGTTTTCTTTGATTTAAATAAATTTAATTTATGTACCTCTGTTAAATTTTTTGTGTTTTTCATTTTCTTTTACAGAAAAATTAAAAATCACAGTTTTTATTTGGTTTAGTTTAATTTTGTTTTATTTTATTTTATATTATATTAATTAACTTAATCGAATTTTCTTTAATTTTATATTATTTTAATTTATTTCATTATTTTATTTTACTTTGTATTGTTTAATTTATTTACATGTATTATATTTATATTTTATTATTTTATTTTCTTTTCTTTTATTTTATTTCTACTTTCCAGCTCTTGGTTACCGTTTGTTCCAGCACTGCAACACATTCGTGGCGTTTACATTATGGTTATGGATCTAATGCCATTTCCACCACAACGAGAGCATTTAAATGTCAGTCTCGGGGCCTCTTTCCAGATCCATACGATTGCCGTTCTTATTACGATTGCACTAGTGATGGCACACACACTCATCATAGATGCGCTTTTCTGCAACGGTATTCGGCTAATATGCAAGCCTGCGCATTCGCCTGGACGGTAATTTGCTACACTCCCACTTTCAAGTGCATAGCTGAGGGTGATAGCGGCGCATGGCCAGGTGATGCGCGTATATTTTATGTATGCCAGGCCAATGGTAGCGCTGGGAATTTAATACCGGTGTTTTTAAAATGTGAATCTGGTTCGTCATTCAATGGATCGATTTGTGTGTGATTTTACGGAAATTATGTGAAATTATTGTGGGAATGTGGTTTTAAAATATTAAATAAATGGTTATTCAAGCTTAAAAGAAAAATTTACGCATTTTATTTCCACAGAGAAGGTACAGATTGTACTAAAGATGTTTTAATTTCTGGGATGATGTTTAGTGGTACTTTTCGATACAACCGGAAATATACATCCCCTGCTACCACCACTGCCAGATATATTTCGGGAGAGAGAGGGAGAGTGAGCTGAGGTTTTAAGTTACCAGTAATAATGTTACAATAGCAAACTCTTTTAGGGGGCTTAACTGAATTTATTTGCACATTGAAAATGTGGAAAACTTGATTCTACTTCGCATTGTATTTGTGCCTTGGGGATGATTTTCTAGAAAATGTATCGCTATGATAAGCCTAAAAGTCTTCTAAGAATAGTCACTTGACTAAGCGAAAGCCGCGACTAATCTTAACGCACTCCTGTGGGCTAGGCGTTCAAGCACTGTCCTGTCGGAAATAGCGACTACAATCCAGAAGTTTCCGCGGCAGTCGGGTCTTTACACCGAAGCGACTCGGATTTTTATTCGGCAAAGAACTCACCCACGCAACATCATTACGTTTCTTCAATGCCGTATCTACTATTTTAGAAAGTTTTTCATTATGCCAAATCTTCAAGAGGCGAGGAAACATGCGAAGTCACAGAGAAACAATTTAATTTTTGATAAATTTTTTTTATTTTTTATTAAAAATTTTGTACTTAATCTAAGAGGTTAAGGAGTAGATAAAATAAACAAGATAATAAAAATGTAAAAGTGAACAGGAAAGAAAGGAAGCAATTCGAGAAAAGTGTTAGTATGAAAGAAACGCGTTAAAGAATTTCATAATTCTTTGAATTTTTTTTTCTCTCAAACGAATGCGCTCAATCATCGCACTCACGTGCCACCGGATGCAACACGATCGATGCACCATTACAGCCCGTACGCTCCGATATGAAATCATGGAAATTGCTCTCCAAAGCCCACATGAAACGCTTGTGACCTGGCAGCACCTGCGACGTTGAAAAAGAATTGCAAACACATTAATTATTGGGCAACACTACAAAACAAGCTGGGTATTCGAACCAACCTGTGTGGACAGGCGACAATCGCCGCCATGTTGTACATCTTGCAAATTCGACGCCTTAAAGCAAGTCTCCGAATTCCACATATAAATATCATTTTCGCCCTTATAACGGAAGAATAAATTCGTGCCACCATCTGCGCCAAGTAAAACCATTTGCTTGCCATACGGCTTCGCACCGACATCCACTATAGAACCGGCACCTTGTCCAACACGTAAATACTGACCACGTATGGAGTAAAGACGTGGTGAACTGAGGTATGTGAAGAAGAGTGTCGAAGTGCCATCGGGTGCGGAGGTGAGCGCCATATAGAGTACGTCTGTGGTCGGTGCAGTTGCTTTGGGTAAAACAATGCGATATGACTTGCTGTAGGCGATATCATATACCAGTATACTGCGTGCACCAGCATCGGCGACATAACTGAGGGAAAGAGATGTGGAAAAAAATGATAGTTGAAATTTTTAAGAAGTTGGTACGCCACCATTACTTACACAAAAGGCTTCTTATCCCTTGAATAGTCCACTACTATGAATTGCAAACGAGACTCGGCAGTGACCAGATCTTTGAGATCGATGCTTTTTACTACTTTATTATCGGCTGTATTGATTGCAACAATTTTTGGTCCACATCGGCGTATGGGTTGTTCTAAAGTGTTCACAAGACCAACATCTAATGCCCAGAGCAGACCCTGAAAGTTGGAAAAAAATAATATATTTATATACAGTGGGTGTTTATTTTCTTTATTTTTTTGGTTTTTATTTCATTTGATTTAATTTTGTTCAATGTTATTTTATTTTATTTTGTTTTATTTCAATTCATTTTATTTAATTCAATTTTATTTATTTTTTTAATTTTATTTTATTTTAGGTTCTTTTATTTTATTATTTTTATTTCAATAATTTTGTTTTCTTTGATTCCATTACATGAAATTAAATTTACGTTATTTCATTTTATTTTCTTTGACTTAAGTTAATTGATTTTTATTTTATTTTGTTTTATTTATTTTAATTTTATTTATTTTTGAATTTTATTAATTTTATTTTAATTTAGGTTATCTTATTTTATTTTTTTTATTTTATCAAATTTTATTTGCTGTGATTTAATTAAATTAAATTAAATTTACGTTATTTCATTTTATTTGCTTTAATTTAATTTAATTGATTGTTATTTTATTTAAGTTTATTTTATTTATTGTAATTTAATTTTATTTCTGTTTTTAATTTTATTAAATTTATTTTAGTTTAGATTATTGTATTTTATTTGATTTAATTAAATTTAATTTAATTCAATTCAATTTTACGTTTTTTTATTCAATTATTATTTTTTATTTAATTTTGTTTCATTTCATTTTATTTGCTTCAACTTAATTCAATGGATTTTTATTTTCAATTCTTTGAGTTTATTTAATTTAACTTTATTATATTAATTTATTTAAATTTTATTAACTTTATTTTAGTTTAGGTTATTGTATTTTATGTGATTTAATTTAATTTAATTCAATTTTATGTTATTTTATTTTATTGTTTTTTTATTCAATTTTATTTTCTTTGAATTAATTAAGTTAAATTAAGTTTTAATTTATTTCGTTTTATTTGCTTTAATTTGATTTTCATTTTAATTTCTTTTAGTTTATTTTATTAATTTTATTTAATTTACATTTTTTATTTATATTTAACTTTATTTTAGTTTAGCTTATTGTTTTTTATTTGTTTTAATTAAATTAAATTTTATGTTTTTTTTATTTTATTATTTTTATTTGATTTGATTTTATTTTCTTTGATTTGATTAAACTATTCAATCAATTATTAAACTTTTTCTTTAATTTAATTAAAATGACTTTTATTTAATTTTTTAATGTTGTTTTCATATTAATTTTATTTAATTTTCTTTGATTTAAATAAACTTAATTGAACTGTTGAAGAAAGTTAGGTTAGGTATAGGCTATAGATGTTTAGTGCTGAAAAATTCCATAAAAAAATAACAATAAATAGTTCAAGTTATGAGCCAATGATTCATTCACCATAATATATTTGAAACTGGGAAAACTGTCTAAGATCGCCCTTTTTTTTAAGGATTTGAGCATTTACTGGGTTTTAACATTTTTTGTTGAGCTCTTAGGTCACAGGTAGCTTGAGCATAATTTTTAGCGCAACTCAGTTAAGTCTTTTCACGGTTCTGTGGTAGATTCGGTAAAGGAGTAAAAAAGATCTTCTACCTGTGTTTTTACGAACCCTTCCTTTGCTTTAAAAATAGTGAACTATTAACCGACAGTCTCTAACGGCTTATTTCCCGGTAAAACTCCATTTAACAAGAGCCAAGTACGATTTTATGGCCTTGACATGTTCTCCACCTTCCCTAGGAGCTGAATTCGTTAGTAGGGTTTTTTGGCTCGTGAGATTTATAGCTGCGAAAAATGGGCGCTAATTCCAAAGTAATCTGTGGATTTAAATATTAGCGCCACTGGCGTTTATTCATTGTCGTCAGAGAAAATTAAAATAACAATTAAAAATAATTAATAATTTTCGTGATGGTTTTTTTTTTTGCAATTACTTTAAGGCATAAATTTTGCTGTAATTATTTAAACGCGCTACAATACACACCGTTATATACAACTGTATCTACATTCATTCTCATTCGCAAATACAATTTAAATATTTTTGGCAAATTCTCTCAAAAAGTCATAAAATCATATTTGCGCATTTTAAGCGCAAAATTCTGGGCATTTCGGTCGAACGTCAGCGCGCAGTGTAGATCTGCTTGCCCATTGTCACTGCCATCGGCTGCAGCCAAATGGTTGCTTGCGGTTGAATGGGCGAAAATAATATCAACAACAACACACACGCCCACACATTCGACGAGATTTACATGCGCATTGCAATGTGCCGAAATAATTTTGCTTTGCCACATACGAGTAGAATGCATAGGTGTGTGTAATATATTTTATGTGCAGTTATAATTTATACTTCAATTTAATATTTTTGCCTCCACAATTTTGTTGTCAGCATTTTGAATAATATTTTGCGTAATTTAAATTCTGGTTGGAACTATTTTTAATTGGGTCAATTTCTAGGAGCGTCGTAATCAACCCAGTAGGAAATTGTCAATTTTATATTCACACAAATTAAAATGTGTCTCACAGAACTTAAGCTGGAGATTATGATCCATTTTGATGCCAGGAATCGGCCCAAAAAGTCACCGAATTTTATTTCGCAAAAATATGCAAGTACTTTAAGGAATAATACTCCTATGTAATATCTAACTGAAGGTTTATCCTTACTTGCCTGCTTGATTAAGCCACTTAGCGAAAGGTATTTAGCTAGTCTGTAAGGAATTGCTTCTAATGTTCTGAATTTGTCATTTTTTATTGACGATTTTTTTCCCTCAGAGACTCGTAGTTCGTATATACGTAATGCATAGAGTAGACTTATGTCCACAAAACACTCGTTTTTATTCAAACGAGGTCGAACTACTTTTCCTACTCTGAAGGGTGAGAAGCTGTTCATACTCACACCCAACAGCATGCCTGAGGTCTGACCACCCTGACGATTTTCTAACTCGATAAGAATTGGTTGGCTGTCAACTTTCAATAAAATATTAAAAAAAAAATAAATTTATACATGTAATATAGATATATATTGGATATTTGTAACCGCTGATGCCATTTTCGACCGAGCTCTTCCTCTAATTTGTGGCATGCGTGGAGGGACCTACAGAACGGATGCTGGATTTTCATGCGGCGTGTTGATTTAAATGTCAGAAATATACTCGGAGAGCTTGACAATCCCTGTCGAGGGGGGAAATTAATAAATTTTCACAATTTGGATTTTTCTGGAACCCTGCTTTACCGAATGGCAATACCCAATGCTCACCATTCGGCTATTTCTTCCGGAAAATAAATCTAACGAATTTATCGTATCCACTGATGTTGCAATTTGGATCAGAGTAGAGGCGTTCGGCTGACACATTCATTTTTATAGAAGAGTTTGAGTAGCTTAAAAACGTTTAATTTTATATCTCTGGTTTTTTAAAGGGGTCAAAAATGCCTGGACGATTCGAAATGGTTTCTGAAAACTAGTTAGCTTCGCTGCATCTTTCATTTACCGACATCCTAATTTGATTGTTAGGTTGCATTTTCAAAGTTGAAACGTTCTATAAAGAGCACAACTGACAGTAAGAGCTGACAATCTCTTACAGCTTACATTGTTGTTCGAAAACGACTCGACACTAGAAACCGACCCAAATATTTAATTGCAAAAATAAACTTTCACCTTTTATTTGTCAATTCAGGCCAATGAACCCGAAATCTGCTTAATGCACTTAGTGACTTTCAAAAACGAGACAGACAGTTGTAGTGAATGAAATTTGAAGCTTTAAATTCAAGAGCTGCTTTTCACTGTCATCGACCGTCAGAGTTTTGTGTACAAATACAAATAGAGATGTACATGCTTTTTAGAAACTGTAAATTTATATATGTACATATATATATGTGAATAACTTTCATGCGGTTGGTGATAAAATTGGAGTAAACATACCACTGATACAAAAAAGTGAACGCAAATAATTCTCTAAGTTCAAATACGTAGTGTTTTATACCGAGAAAATTGTCTGAGGAAACAAAACGAGGAAAAAACACATAAAAACAATGAGCAAACAAAGAACTAAGTAAATAATATTAATATAGAGTACTCGTAGTATTCTACTTATTTTTGTCTCTTCTCGTTCATTCTACTGCTAGTCACTTTTGGTTTGACACTCGTTGTTTGTTTACCGTTAAATTTGCTGTGTCAGTTATATTCGAAATGATTTTTATTATTATACGGAATTGTTGGAATAATGGCAGGTTGGTTCCAAGATTAAACTTTGACATAGAAAATGCATTAACGAGAGTTTAAACAGCCTGAAATATATATATATTTCGATGAGTGGAAATAAAAAAAATAAAAAAATATAAAATAAAATAAAATAAAATAAAATAAATAAAATAAAATAAAATAAAATAAGATAAAATAAAATATTATATTATAAAAAAAATCATAAAATAATATAAAATGATGTAAAAAGAGAAAAATAATCTAAAATAAAATTAAATAATGTAAAATAAAATTAAATAAAACAGAAAGTCTATGTAAGATGAAAACCATTAATAATCTGCAAAACGAAAATAAATGAAATAATTGTTTTTTTTTTTTATGTAAATGGCTAAATATGGTAAAAGTTGATTTATACCAAAAGTGATAAGCAGCATTCTTTTCTAGTTTATCTATTCAAAACAGACAGACTGACATGTCAGCATATGCCTCTTGGCCACTTACTGCATACACACAGTTACACAGTTACACACAGCCACACATAAATATGTATTTAGTAAGTCGTTAGCGATAAGAGCGTATCCCAGTTACAAGCGCATCAGACCTTTTTGCATTAAACTAATTCTCGTACAAATTTTTCGTTTTTTACTTTCCACTTTTTGTTTTGTTCTTTTCCTGCAGTAGCCGAGCATTTTTCGTAATCACAATGGCTTTAAGCAGCAACACAGTAGTAGAGAAAAAAGTTTCCAATTGTAATGTCAGATGATATCGTCGCATTGTCGGCTCTGTTATGCTGACTGACCCCGGCTCCAGCTCAGTGTGATGCCAGCGGCTGTGACCTTGTCCTTGTCTACACTGCCGGCCGACAAGGCGACAACACATAATCTAATATTGGTGGCACAAGCTTACACCGAAACGCTTGCACACCAACACATACATATATATACACGTACATATGGAAGTGTGTGCGCACACATGCATATGCTAGTTATTTGCCATAAATAAAATATTCACTAAATATGGAAGACAAGATAGTAACTAACTAGATTTATTGCCCCAAAGGACTCACGGCTTGGCTTTCAACTTTCGTTGAGTAAAGTCTTGCACAAACATACAATACACTCAGCACACCACCGAGCAAGCTAGCGATGCAGCTTAGCACTGATTGGCTCACACACACGCGAACACGTACACATGCAAACTTACATTTGGATCCACAGCGATATCCACAACGGACTGCAGCGCTTGACAATTGCCCTCCTCCTGTATGGCCCAACACGGGTACGGAGCTATCTTCGCTATGCACTGACCCTTTTTCAATTGCACGCGACCCAATGTGAACGGCACACCCTGTTTGTAGCGTGGCAAAGCGACAAAGGCGTCATCACGTCGCAATTGGGCGCGCGTAACGATCACATTACGTGGTACATAGCGGCCCGATTGAACGTAAATATTCTTGGTGGACTCGCAAGGCCAGCGCAGGTTGTTGCCGCTCAGCTGGAAGGTGAGTGCGGAGAGTGGATTCTTATCACATTTGCTGACATATTTGTTGCTATTGCTGTTACCGTAGCTGTCAGGTTCAGCGGTGTCGGCGGTTACGTCAGCAGGGTCATCGTGCACATCATGTCGCGCCAATGTGGGTGTGGGCAGCAGCAGTAGGGTGGTGAGTGTGACAGTGAAGAGCAGCAAAGAAATTGTGGTTGCAGGCAATTGAAAGTGCATTTTGTCTGTGTCCTAATTTTCCGTTGATAACTTTGTTGTTGTTTTGTGTACTGTTTTTTTTACTCGTTTGTAAATTAAAGTGCTTATTTGCCCATCCACGGATTTTGTGGACCGTTCACTTGTACTATTTGCGCAAGTTTGCACCTTCGTCTTATTTATGCACTGGTACTGTCAGCAGCGCCAACAAAAATGCCGCATTTATAGTGCGCGTGCCTCCAGACTCTTCTTTTTGTTGGTTCAGTATTTGTGCAAAAATGTCATAACAATAATAACGGTGAAAAAGTTGTGCTACGCTGCATGCTAGTCTACGTGCATTTTTCACCAAATATTTGCTTAAGATTCTTCTACTGCTTTCTTTTCTTTCATTGAGTAGCTTCTTTGCGGAAAGTGTTTATTTAAAAATTTCATGATATGTGATTTCATTTTACGTGGCACAGTGGGTCAGTTTTGAAATAATAAAAAAAATTGGCCGGTGTTCAAATAAATTTTTTTTGCATTTTTTAGGTTATGTTTCATTCATATGAAAATTGGAAGAAAATTCATTGAGAAATAAACGTATTGAGGAATTACAAAAGCCGACCTAACGAATTCTTGCTCGACTTGTACACCTGCGCTGTGAGAGCACTCATCAATGACTAGATTTAACGGAGTTTTGAGACAGCATTTTAAGTTCTCTAACCACTGCCCTCCAGTAAGCTATGGTTTTTGAGAAGGTTGATAGATCAGCAGGTGCCATGAGTAGTTGAGCTCTATGGGAGGGATATGCAAGCAAAAGAATTGAGAAGCCCGTTATGAGTACGATGGGTTTGAATAGTTGGCCGACAGGGCCACGAAAGCTGCGTGGACTTACAGTAGGCTTCGAAATCGGACATACGCATGAAGAAACCAATGAAGTCATCAACAAACTGTCTTTATAAAAGATACATTTCTGCAGTGAAAGTGCAACAACCGATAGCATTACTCAATGAGGAAAGTCGAATGGCCGGTGCACGCTTGAGGAAACGAAGAGCGATCGCTAAAGCGATTTTCGGTCAAGCTCATCCTCCAATTTGTGGTTTTGCGTCTTGACGTTTTTTCCAACAAATAGAGAAGGAAGAAGAGGAAGAAGAAGACCTCTATTCCATTGGTTGGACCAGGTGGAATATGTTCTGATTTCATTTGGCATTTCCAAATGGTGGCAAACCGCGTAGAGAAGCACTGAATGACGCACTATTATTGATTCGGCTATAGTCGCTTAAGCGGTGGTCGTGTCAATGAAGAAGAATACTAACAAGAATAAGATAAAGAAGAAGTAGAACAGGCAGAAGACGGAGCGGAAGTATAAGAAGAAAAAGAAAGGCTCGACGCATTCCACACTTCATCGTGAGCATTGTGAAGCTGTCTCTAAGAGCGTGAAGAAGAGCTCCCTTTATGCTGTTAAGTCGGAATTTTGTTTACCTGCAAAGCAATAAACAGAATTACCATCGTAATTGGAAAGAATCTTTTCGAATCGTTCGGTAATAGATAACGTTTCAAACAAGGATATGTGACTTCTTTAATCCAATGCTGAATACAATAATACGAGCTGCGAAGCTAAATATAGAAGGCTTCAAAAAATGCCCCTCCTCTCGATAAGACAAAGAAGCAAAGTGAATGAATGTGGTGTTGGCAAACTCCTGACTCCCACCTCACTACTGATATTGGCTGGGAAGATCCTCCATTCCGTTGGAAACTTCAAGTGGAGAAGAAGCTGGCTACACTACAGTGGAAAAGTAAACGATTTGTGTGCTGTTGCTCACTCGGCTACATCGCGTAAACAGTGTCTGCATCCATTAAAACACGAGTGTTCCGTTCAAGTTTCAGATCTCAACAAAAATATGGCATACGTACAAGGGGAGAGTAGAATCCTCATTTCAGTGCCAACATGTCTTCTGTACTGCTGAATTCAAATACTAAAGTCATAAGAAGATTTGCTTTCAATACGCTCCAGCATCGCATTTCGAAATTCCTGCCCAGCAACTACTGCAACAATAACAAATCTAATATATCAGCTTAGCAAAGTATTCGACAAATCGCAAATTTAACTCGATTGCAACAACACTCTGAAGCACAGTAGTTTCGCACAGATTTATTTTCGCAAATAACACATATCACAGCTAACTATGTACGATGTGTGCATATAAAATATGAATGTGTATGAGATATGTGTGTGTGTGTGTTTATGACATTATAGGTTATGTACGTAAAATCACGCAGAGCACACATCTCCACTCGCATCCAAACAAAATACCAGACGAAATGCACAGACAAACTGGAGCTGAGCCACACAGTCACGCTGCTCGAGCCAGGCGATGCACATGACCCCGCTACGTGTGGAATGATTGCCATTGACCCAGCACGTTGTCTCGGTCGATGGTGGTTGTGATGGTGTTGCTGGGGGGTGGTGGAAGTGCAAACAAAATACATATCTGTGGGAGTGTGAGTGTGAGTGTGCGTGTGAGTATGCATGTGTGTGTTTAAAGTATTGCATGTTTACCTTCCGCCTTCCGGTCAGCTGAATAGAGTTGGTGCGCTCTTGCATGCATCCCATGTGCATACAAAATAAAAAAAAAAACAAAAAAAAAAAACAAAAACATTTCACTCAAACTCATACAAATGGCTGTATTAGCGAGATCATAGCATACTGTGCGGCGCTTATATCCGGACATTTATATGAGCAACCGTTTCTGTTGTTGATTTTGTATATTTGTCAAACAATGGACGAAGGGAGGGCGGAGAGACTGTGACCTTTAGTTTATGTTTCATGCTGTGCGGCGCTTCTGGAATATAACTGTACATTGAAGTAATAAACAAAAGCGTTTCTAACGAGTTCAAAACGATGGTAACACCACTTTAAGGTGCACACATAGAGTAATGGCCTAAAAAAGGTGATTTTTGGGAATTTTTATTAAAAAAAAATACTTAATCAATTATTTCAAAATTTTAAAAATATATTTATACATATTTCAAGAATATACAGTAAAATTTTTGAAGAAAAAAATTAAATGTATTTTAAGTTATAGTCGATCTTCAACGGCGCGAAAAAAAATGTTCTTCACTGCTGCAGTGATTCCGGCCTTCTCCATGGATGGAATCTAAAAATCTACTAGATAATATTGTCTGTACAATGACCTACGATAAAAAAATATAAAAAATTGACAATATGGCGGTGTTTTAGAAAAAATATGCGAAATTTACCCAAAATTTTGGTCGTTTTTGGCCTGCCGAAATTCTTTTTTTTTGATCAAATCAAAATTCGATAGGCCATTGTACGGAGAATTATATATAGAACATGTAAAAAAATTCGATAGTGATCGGATAATTTGTTTTTGAGTAGACACTGCAGCAAATTCGGAAAATGCTGTTTCAGGAAAAATGCGTTTAAAGGTAAAATGATCGTTTTCACTCGTAGCTAATGAGACTCTCTAGCTGCCGAGCGGCTGCTCTCTAAATTGCTATAACTCAAAAACTTTTTGAGAAATCGATTTGAAATTTTAATATGTTAATTTTAAAGGTGTAATCTACCGAAATATGAAAAAAAATTGTTTTTTTTTTGGAGTTCACAGTAGGTGTGCCCCTTAAACACCGTTTCCTGTGAAATGTTTTGCTCTTTTGGTGTGAAAGTAAATTAAGATTGCTCATTTTATCTATGTTTATATAAGATAGAAATATATTGACGACAGCATGATGTATCACAAAATAGAAAGGTGTTCGTATAATTTTATAAAAAAAAAAAAAAAAAAAAAAAAAAATTATTTCAAAAACCGTCATATCTTTCTTCTGCGCTTAGGGATCGGAAATTGTTGAAGACAATGCTTACAGCAAACGCGTGGAGTTCACAAAAATGCTTACAAACATACACACCCAACTCCTAAGTATGACAATAACCCGCAATGAAGCAAATTTAACAAAAATCGAAAAGAAAAGACTACAGAAAAAGCGATGAAAAAAATAATCAAAGTTGAAAGAGAACACCTTACGTAGAGACTTTTTAAAGCACATGCTGTTGCTAAATACCTACGCTGTGCGTTGCATACATATACATATATATTTATGTATATAAGTACATGCATGTAAGTATGCATGTATTGCTGTATGTTTGCGTATTACAGCAATCGAGCAACAACCCAGCAGCTATCATATTACGCCAGACAGCATTGAGTCACCTGCTATACGCTGTATTGTTGTTAGTATTATTGTTGCTGTTGTTGATTTTTTTTTTCAACCTAATGCCATTGACATAATATCTTCATCACTCTAACTATGTTTATCATTCAAAAGCAATTGCTGGTAGCTGGCGGCTGGTGGATTGATAGTAAAACATAAATATGTCTTAACTGCGGAAAACTTTTTCAAGTTACGTGGGTGCATCAAAAACTTTTTAGAAGCCAGCGGAATGTATACTCCGGACACTTCAAGTTATTTTTAACTTGGTTTATTGGTTGTTTTTAGGGCGAAATTGTTAATGGGGGTCTAATACATTGAAAATTACCTTGATATAAGGAAACTGTGTAACGGTATTTTCAAACACCCTACGTACCGCCGCTACGGAAACAATTGGTTTTCGGCAGTGCCAGAAAGGAAGTTGGTACTATGAGGACTGCCGTGTCGCAGTGGAGAGTAAACTGACTGCATACTTTGCAACCTTGCGATCGACCACAACAAGGACGAGCTGAAGAGGAAAGCAACACGCATTTGCAGACAAAAAAAGAAAGAGGCCGCGTTGCAGGAGTAGGAAGAGCTTGAAAAGCTGGCCGACAAGAGTAATGCCCGAAAGTTCTACGAAAAGATACGGCGACTTATGGAAAGTTTCAAGAATATTTGGTGGGAACACTTCTTCAGTTCGCTTAATGACAGTGAAAATGAAACCCACGGAGTTTCTGAGCCAGAGATCCCAATCGATGACAATGGAACAGACGTTCTACTCCTGACCATGTCGAAATTCAATTAGCGATGGCAGGTTTAAATAACAACAAAGTGGCTAGGGCTGATAGCCTACTGGTTGAGCTATTCAAACTTGGCGGTGAAGAGCTGACAAGGTGCATGCATCAGCTACTTTGTAAAATATGGTCGGACGAAAGCATGTCCGACGATTAAAATAATAAAAAACTGAACCCCACACTTTGCACCAATTAC